TTTTCTTTTTAACTGTACCATTGACTTCCATACAGGGATATTAGCCATTTACCATTGTAAATGCTATTATAAACAATGGTGTAAGGAATATCTATTTCAAACCTGCTTTAGACTAATCCCAGGAAATAGAATTACTGAGTTACAAGGGCATGGATGTTGTAAAAGATCATCCAACTTGTCCTTCCAGATAGCTGTACCAGCTTATGTTCCTACCAGTCTTACATGCAAGTAATTACTATCACCAAACACGGATATCATATATTTTTGTCATCCTGGATAAAAGCATGCTATCTCCTCATCTTTTTTTTTTAATCCTGTTAACTAGTGAGGTAGTGTCTTTTCCTATGCTTTTGGCTCTTTGGATATCATTGTTGACTACTATGCATTTTATTTACACTGATATATTGTGAAGTATTAGTTAAAATATGATAGTTAAGATTTGTGAGGCAATTAAACATCAACCTCAGTAAATTCAAAAAGATTGAAATTGTACCAGCCAACTTCTTAGATCAAAAAGGTATAAAACTAGAAATAAATTAGACAAGAAAACAAAAAGGCTCAGAAACACATGGAGGCTTAACAACATGCTCCTAAATAATGAATGGATCAATGACAAAATTAAAACAGACCTCAAGCAATTTATGGAGACAAAAGAAAACAACAGCACAATGCCCCAACTTCTGTGGGATGCAGCAAAGGCAGTTCTCAAGAGCAAAGTATATAGCGATCCAGGCCTATTTAAAGAAGGAAGAACAATCGCAAATGAATAGTCTAAATTCACTATTATTGAAACTGGAAAAAGAAGAACAAATGAGGCCCAAAGTCAGCAGAAGGAGGGATATAATAAAGATCAGAAGAAATAAATAAAATTGAAAAGAACAAAACAATAGAAGAAATTAATGAAACCAAGAGCTGGTTCTTTGAGAAAATAAACAAAATACACAAACCCCTAACCAGACTTATTAAGAGAAAAAGAGCATAACACACATCAACAGAATCAGAAATGAGAAAGGAAAAATCATGACGAACACCACAGAAATACAAAGAATTATTAGAGAGTACTATGAAAATCTATATGCTGACGAACTGGATGACCTAGAAGAAATGGACAACTTCATAGAAAAATACAACTTTCCAAGACTGACCCAGGAAGAAGCAGAGAATCTAAACAGACCGATTAACAGCAATGATATTGAATCAGTAATCAAAAAACTACCTAAGAACAAAACCCCCGGGACAAGATGGATTCACCACTGAATTTTACCAGACATTTAAAGAAGACATAATACCCATTCTCCTGAAAGTTTTCCAAAAAAACAGAAGAAGAGGGAATACTTCCAAACTCATTTGGTTAAGCCAACATCACACTGGTACCAAAACCAGGCAAAGACCCCACAAGAAAAGAAAACTATGGGCCAATATCCCTCATGAACATAGATGCAAAAATACTCAACAAAATATTAGCAAACTGAATTAAAAAATACATCAAGAGGATCATACACCGTGATCAAGTGGGATTCATTCCAAGGATGCAAGGACGTTACAACATTCGAAAATCCATCAACATCATCCCAACACATCGACAAAAAGAAAGACAAAACCACATGATCATTTCCATAGAAGCTGAAAAAACATTTGACAAAATTCAACATCCATTCATGATAAAAATTCTCAACAAAATGGGTATACAGGGCAAGTACCTCAACATAGTAAAGGCCATATATGAAAAACCCACAGCAAACATCATACTTAACAATGAGAAGCTGAAAGCATTTCCTCTAAGATTGGGAACAAGACAAGGATGCCCACTCTCCTTGCTTTTATTCAACGTAGTACTGGAGGTCTTAGCCACGGCAATCAGAAAACACAAAGAAATAAAAGGTATCCACATAGGTAAGGAAGAAGTTAAACTGTCACTGTTTGCAGATGACATGATATTGTACATAACAAACCCTAAAGACTTCACTCCAAAACTACTAGAACTAATATGTGAATTCAGCAAAGTTGCAGGATACAAAATTAATACACAGAAATCTTGCATTTCTATACACTAGTGATGAACTAGCAGAAAGAGAAATCAGGAAAACAATTCCATTCACAGGTGCATCAAAAAGAATAAAATACCTAGGAATAAACCTAACCAAGGAAGTGAAAGACCTATACCTTGAAAACTACAAGCCACTCCTAAGAGAAATTAAAGAGGACACTAATAAATGGAAATTCATCCCATGCTCTTGGGTAGGGGGAATTAATATTGTCAAAATGGCCATCCTGCCTAAAGCAATCTACAGATTCAATGCAATCCCTATCAAAATACTGACAATATTCTTCGTTGAATGTTCAATGCAATCCCTATCAAAATACTGAGAACATTCTTCATTCAACGAACTGGAACAAATAGTTCTAAAATACATATAGGACCAAAAAAGATCACAAATAGCCAAAGCAATCCTGAGAAGGAAAAATAAAGCGGGGGGGGGGGGGGGATATCTCTTCCCAACTTTAAGCTCTACTAAAAAGCCACANCTGAATGTAAGTCATGGAAGCATAAAACTCTTAGAAGAAAACATAGGCAAAACACTCTTGAATATAAACATGAGCAACTTCTTCATGAAATATCTCCACGGGCAAGGGAAAAAAAGCAAAAATGAACAAGCGGGAGTATATCAAACTAAAAAGCTTCTGTACAGCAAAGGACACCATCAGTAGAACAAAAAGGTATCCTACAGTGTGGGAGAATGTATTCATAAATGACATATCTGATAAGGGGTTAACATCCAAAATATACAAAGAACTCATGCACCTCAACAAACAAAAAGCAAATAACCTAATTAAAAAATTGACAGAGGATCTGAACAGACACTTCTCCAAAGAAGAAATTCAGATGGCCAACAGGCACATGAAAAGATGCTCCACGTTGCTAATACTCATCAGAGAAATGCAAATTAAAACCACAGTGAGATATCACCTCACACCAGTTAGGATGGCCACCATCCAAAAGACAAACAACAAATGTTGGTGAGGATGTGGGGAAAGCAGAACCCTCCTACACTGCTGGTGGGAATGTAAATTAGTTCAACCATTGTGGAAAGCAGTATGGAGGTTCCTCAAAAAACTCAAAATAGAAATACCATTTTGACCCAGGAATTCCACTCCTAGGAATTTACCCTAAGAATGCAGCAGCCCAGTTTGAAAAAGACAGATGCACCCCTATGTTCGCTGTACCACTATTTATAATAGCCAAGAAATGGAAGCAACCTAAGTGTCCATCAGTAGATGAATGGATAAAGAAGAGGTGGTACATATACACAGTGGAATATTATTCAGCCATAAGAAGGAAACAAATCCTACCATTTGCAACAACATGGATGGAGCTAGAGGGTATTATGCTCAGTGAAATAAGCCAGATGGAGAAATAAGTATCAGATGATTTCGCTCATGTGTGGAGTATAAGAACAAAGCAAAAACTGCAGGAACAAAACAGCAGCAGAATCACAGAACCCAATAATGGCCTAACAGTTACCAATGGGAAAGGGACTAGGGAGGATGGGTGGGAAGGGAGGGCTAAGGGAGAAAAAGGGGCAGTACAATTAGCTCACACAATGTAGGTGGGGGTGCATGGGGAAGGCAGTATAACACAGATAAGGGTGATTCTATAGCATTTTACTATGCTGATGGACGGTAACTGTAATGGGGTATGTGGTGGGGACTTGATAATGGGGGGAATCTAGTAACCACAATGTCCTTCATTTAAGTGTATATCAATGACACCAAAAGAAATTTTTTTTAATGATAAAAATGAAAAAAAACATCAACCTCACCTTGGTTGTTTCATTCTGAGAATTTTCTTGATTTCTGAATTTTTAACCATTTTATCATGTCCATGCAAAGGACATGTAATAAGAATCTCAACAACTAGAAAGTTCCTTGTTCATGCTTCGTAGTGTTTATACATGGGCTTTTCATTTTTGAGTTAGTTGTCATTATTCTGGCATGGCATTCCTAGAAACCATGATCATTTTATAGGATTCAACATACTTGAACCAGCTGGATGGGTGGTTTGTCATGTTTTGGTAACCCTCATTCCTTTTCTGGCTAGATATGGAATATGTAAAAACATGCTCATTCCACTTTGTAGAAAGTATGGACAACAAAAAGTCATCCTTTAGGTAGACTTTTGGGACACCAAAAGGGTTGGTAAAGTGACAGTTTTTACAATCATGGATACTTTGGTTGTAATTTCTGTCGCTGGATTAAGATGGAGTATTTTTTGCTTTAAAGAAATCCATTTCTCAGTCACTAATGCCCAAGGAAAATCTACAATCTTGAAACAAATTGTCCTATAATTACAATGTTTTTAAAAGGAAAAAGAAAAAAGGGGTAGATAATCTTAGTGAATTTTTGTTAATCTGATAGTTGAGTAGCATTTAGTTCTGTGGTATAGATAATCATATGCAATTAATGTTTAACCAGTGTCTTCTTTTTTCTGTACTATTCTCTTGCTTTGCATGGACATAATAAAAGAAAGATTTAAATTGGGGAAATGAAAGCCCCCATAGAGGATTCATTAATTTTTATTATACCTTCATATGTTTTTATTTCCTATTTTAAAGATACTTGAGTATTTCAATTCATCATATTTGCATAGCTTTGATTTCCCAGTGGGGAATAAGGATGAGTCAACACAATTTACATGTGTAATTAAGATATAAGGTCCTTCTTAAGCTTTTAAATAGGTACTTTTCATAAATACTGTGTAAGTAAAAATAACATTAATGAGTTTCCAAATGTCCTTTTCATATATTAGTTACATGTTTTCTGCATTGCTCTTTTTAAAAGTTCCTTCAGCTTCTAAATCTTCAGTGTATTTCAGCGTCAGATTTTTAAGTCATTTTGTGGGTCATTATAGCTGAAGAGAAAACAGTTGATTTGACATTGGAAATTATACTATCTTAGAAACACATGAAATTAACTTAGGTTTAAAATATTTGTTTTTCTAGTTCATCCAGAGCAGCTTCCTCCGAGGCCATGGATTACATTGAAAGAACGAGACCAAATTCTGCCATCAGGTAAATTGTTTTTCTTATTCTTGCTTGTCTTTTTTCAGAAATAGTGAAATGCCATTTGGGCTTTGTGATTTAATAAACAACACTTAGTTTTATCTCCCCGTGGTAGATGAGAAAAATACAGAGAGATAGACTTTAAAAAATAAATCCACACTAAGGCTATGTACAAGGATTTTCTATCTTTCACAATGATGCAACTCTGGTTTTAATATATTCCTTGTAATACAGTCATCCAAATAGCATCTTCACACAGGGTATTGGGTGACTTAAGGAAAATGAATAATAAAGAGTTTTATTTTGAAAAATTTAAACTGCTCAAGTACTTCATCTTTCTTGAGCAGTTAGAATGATAACACTTGTGAAAGATTAATTTAGACTGACTCTATATTTGCTATATTGGAAATAAAATATGATACCAGGCCGGTGGTATAAAAATAGTACAGGGTGAGTATTTGAGTAATTTAAGGATATGGTTTAGCATTTCTAGAACTGCAGTAATGTAGAAATTATAAACTTTTATCTCTTGGTGGAGAGCAATAATGATTTGACATAATTTACAATGCTTCTTACTGCTTATTACACATTTTATGATAGGGAAATCTAACATTATTCTGGATTAGTACTGTTTCTCCACGTGCCTTCTTTTTAATCACAAGAGTAGTAGTTTCATGATATCTAATTGCATTTTTAAATTAATAAATGAAAATATTTCTGTTTTAATATGAAGATCAAACCAATCACTGAATACTAATAATTTTTAAAGGGACATAGTAATTTAATAACCATTAAAGAGTACATCACAGAATTTATTGTATACTCTTTAAGTCCTTCTGTTTGTGAGTTTTTTTTTTTAAGTTAAAAACTAGGAGGATTCAGACAAAATGATTTGCTTTGTTACTGGGAAATATGGGAAAATAACATCTTCATGGTTCTGTTTGCATTTTAATAACACTGAGAAATATTGGCGTGTGCAATACATTTCTGTGTCTTCCAGTAGTAATAATTGTAAAACTGTCACACTTTAGAACTATAGTATCAGCGTTATTCTAAAAGGCACTGTGTCAAGTGTTAGCATAAATAATAGTCCTCATATCTGGGTATACATTGATCGTCTGAGTAAAAGGAGTGCCCAAGGTTTTCTACAGAGCCTTAAGTTTGGATTTATTTTACATTTAGCTTTCCCTAATGGTAACTAATTATGCCCTTCTGGATATTAAAAACACCATTTTCTAGTTCTTCAGAGTAATTCCTTTTTGATCACAAGTGAACATAATCTTGAAGAAAAGCTTTCCTACTATTGCATACCTACATTTCCGTTAAGAAAAGGAACAGCAGAAACAAATTTTTGTGAGTTGCTTAATTCTCAAAGTAATTCATTCTTGGGTTTTGCTTATTGAAAAACTTGTAAGAATTTTCCTTGGGATGTGTGGTACTTCCCTGAGTAGAATTGGAGTGCTAAAAATATATTGTTTGAAATACGCTTTACTTTTAGTATATAGGGAGATGTGTATAATAACTAATGATGGTTACAGGGGATTTATAGCCACAAATTATAAAGATAATTGAACTATGTAAGAATCAATCCCAGATGGTAAAAAAGGTACCAGTGTACAAAATGGCTACCAGTCAGGTCTGCAGAGGCCCCTTGAACCAGCTTTCTCTTAATACCTTTCCTGTCATTGGAATCTGAACCAACTTCTATCACGTGTTACTTTATTACTTAGATTCCACACCTTTTATTTAAAAATGTGATTCTCAATCATGTCTGTCCATAACAATTACCTGGAATACTTTTTAAAAATACAAATACCCAGTCGCTAGTATACTTGAACAACATTAGTTTAAACTGCATGTATCCACTTAACATGTGGATTTTTTCAATAAATATACAGTACCTTTAAATAAATAGGAACTTCTTCACATCTTTCATTTTGGATATCTAGTGTTAATAATATGTATGACATCTACCATGTTTTGCATTGTATAAGATGATATTGATGTGGGTACTGACCACTTGATTCATTTTGTAAACATGATGTAAATTTACAGTATGGATAAATATAGTACCCTACTATAAATGTATTTTCTCTTCCTAATGATTTTCTTAATGTTTTCTTTTTGCTAGCTTAAGAATTTTTGCACATAACTTATTGTAAGAATAAGAATCTATTGTAAGAATACAAAATATAAAACATAGACCATTAAAATATGTGTTAATGTGTTTGTTATTGGTAAGGCTTCCAGTCAACAGTAGGCTGTTAGTAAAGTTTTTGGGGAGTCAGAAGTTGTACATGGATTTTTGACTGCATGGGGGGTCAGTGCCTGTATCCCATGTGGTGTTCAAAGGCCAGCTATAGTCTTGAGCAAGATCATGAATATTAGCAATTTTTTTAAAGCTCTACAGAGTGATTCTGATGGGCACCCAAGATGGAGAATTAATTGATAAAAATCAGGACTCTGAAACTAATGTGTGTGTGCATGTGAATCACCTGGGATTTTGTTAAATTGCAGGCTTTGATTCAGTAGGTCTTTGTGGGAAAGGGATTCTGCAATTGTAAGTTCCTGGGTGATAACCGATGCTGTTGGTCCTTACAGCACACTTTTAAGGAACAAGGATACAAACTGTGCTCCTATCTGCTCACAGTCCTTTTACAGTTCAAGGGCATTTTGAAATGTGAGTGTAATTTCAGAAGTGATCCTTTGATTTGGCAAAAAGGATTCTCTTATAACTAACCTTTGTTAGTCCCTTCTGGGTTACAGCATTGAGAAGTCAGAGGCCCAAAAAACTATTAAGTATATTTTTTGTTAAAAAAAAAAAAAGATTAATGAAATTACAGCTTTTTAATGAGAATAAAACTAAAAATTTTTGTTCCATTTATACACAGAAGCTCTGCTCAATACGTTATGTGCAAAAATCAGCATTCTGATTTAAAAATTGAATTTATTTATTAAATCTCTTAAAAATCTCAAATATAAACCATTAGTCTAATTCTAGTAAAAGAACTTTGGTGTGATGGACTCCAGTGAATTTTTAGTAGATACAGTTTAGTGGAATCTTGCCCAAGCATTTCACAGTTATGATATTTGGGGTATGTTTGTATGCCATTTGTGCTTGTACAGGTAGGTATACCCATGAAATTGCTTTAGAAAAAGTTGCCTAATATTCTCCCTTTTGTTTGTTGTCTTTTCCTCCCACTTTTTAGCTTCATTCACGGTTATGTGTTACAATGTGTTATGTGATAAATACGCCACCCGGCAGCTATATGGCTATTGCCCATCCTGGGCATTAAACTGGGAATACAGGAAAAAGGGAATTATGGAAGAAATTGTTAACTGTGACGCAGATATCATTAGTCTTCAGGTAACACTATAGAAATTAAATTGTCTTAAAGATTAATTTAAAAATAGTACATCTTTCTTCTGTGAAAGATCCTGTCTTCAAATCAAAACTCGAAAGGAATTATTTGCTCTTAAAAAAAGGA